TTCTCGCTTTCTGTCTCTATGTCTCTCTCTGTCTGCCTGGCGAGCACACGTGCCCTATAGCGAAAATCTCTCCAAAAAAAAAAAAAAAAAAAAAAATTCAGGGCCAGCAGGTGGTGTGGAGGTTAAGGTGGCTGGATCCCACTGGCTACATGGTTCAAGTTCTGAACCTAGTGGTTCTAAAACACTCCAGGAGTGTGTGTGCGTGCATGCAAAACATCCTGATAGGAGAGTAGAGAAGGGACTGAGGCATGACCATCACCCATGGGGGGGTGATTTCTCACTTTTTCTCTCTCCCTCCCCCACCCTCTGGGTGAGCACCTGTGCCCTATATAAATAGCAGAAGCTAAAAAAGCAAAACAAAAGGAAAAAAGAATAAGGAGGAAGGAGAAACATTTTATTCTAATGGGTGAACAAGTCTGAATGAAGTGAGTCGAAACAGATAATACACATGAATAAGTAAACCTGTCTAGATACCTCTGTGCCCACCACCACCAAGGGCACACCCTTACCTTTGACAGTGGAATGAGAAAATCCAGTTTGTACGAAAGGATCACCCTGGTGAGCAGGACTACAAACACCACGTAGGCAGAGTTCTCAAAATCCGTTAACTGAACCTAGACAAGCAGAAACAAAGAGACGTCACGGACCAGCTGCATGAACGTGCTCCACCTGGCCCTCCTCAGCTGATGTCATTCTAAGCCACTTCCTGACTCCCCATCCAGGTTTGGAAGCCCTCTGCCCACATCATACTTGGAAATCAACCCTCCTTAGCCTTTGGACTTGCCTTTAATAGGTACTTGATTTTATTGCCCTGCAATAACTTTAAGCACCTTCTGATAAGAGCATCAGAAAGGGGGGGGGCAGTCAGAAGAGCATTTCTGAGTCTGTTCATGGCAATGTGGATGTCTTACCTCCATGGGTCGGAATTCAACTCTCCATCCAATATCTGAGTTTGGAGGAGGGGGCTTAAATCTCATTGTCTGCCAATTTGTGGACTGAATATTCTATGATTTAAAAAAAAAAAGAGAGAGAGAGAGGATCACATCCAGGAAAAGGTTAAGATGACTTGGTATTTAATTAGAGATGAAGACTATTCATCGTCTTCACCAAATAGTCAATTTACAAATACAAAAACACCCCACAATTTAAGATTTTCTTGGTACATGACCCCAGGAAAGCAAAATGACTGTTATCTAACAAAAGTTAGATGATATATCTACAGCTGAAATAACCGATCATGTTACATTTTTGTGCAACATATGTTTGAATGGGTCACCATCAAACAAACAGGAGGAAATTCTGAACAAGAAAATTTAGAATCAAGAGAGAACCTAAGGGACCAGCAGTTGGGGTAATGGCTATGGCACTGGATTCCCATGTAGTTGACTGCAGTTTGAGTCCCGGACCTGGTAGCTTAAACTCATACCAGGCGCATGTGTGTGTGTGCCCAGGATCCTGAGAGGAGAATGGAGGAAAAGGGATGGTGGAGTGGCCATTGCCCCGGGGGGAGTGATTTCTCTTTTCGTTTTCTGTCCGACTGGTGAGTGCAAGCACCCTATAGCATAAATCTCTCAAAAAAAAAAAAAAAAAGAAAAGAAAAAAAAAAGAAAATTTAAAAAGAGAGAACTAAGAGTAATAAAGTAAGAGTACTTTTTTAAAGAAAATTTTGCCAGAGGGTGTACACACTTACCAGAAAGATTAAGAGAGAGAAAGCACCCTTCACAACAGGACATGGTTACACCACAATCCTTTCTCCTCCTTTTTTTCCACCTTGTTGGGAACTGGGGCATGTACCCATATGTGTCCAACATGTTTTTCAGGCTTCTGAGGCTGGGATTTGAACTGCACAGTTGGCCATGTAGGGTCTGGCTCCCTTAATCGTCAGACCACACAGCCAGCCCCAAATAAAAGTACTTTAAGCCTGTTTTTAACTGTTCGTAGTTCTTCACTGTACTGAGTAATAATAAAAGGCACATGAGATTTCTATTGTCACTACTCTTAAAGGTACAGAAAGCTGCTGGCAGCTTGGTTCATGAAGTGAAATGCATTTAAAACAGGCGATACCTCAAAATGGTCAGACTCGGTGGCATCATTCAGGTGTATTTTCTCTTCAAACAGAGTCAGTGGGTCTCTAATAAAGAGATGAGCAACATGCTGGGCCAGGAGATGGTCAATGCCTGCAAAGACAGATCCCGGGGAACTCACTGTACAGAGTGACATTCGCCTTTGTCCAAGTCCAGTAAGAAGACAGGACAGCTCAGGAAGTTGGAGGAGAGGGTGTCTAGATGCTTAGGAAATGGCTGGCTTGCTCAGTGTTCTCACCTCACCCAGGATTATGTCCTGTGGATACCGGGGAAGCATCAGCATTTTATTTGCTACGTACACAATGCCTGTTGGGGCACTGATGTGGGCCTAGGAATAGACCTCCAAAGCAAGTTCCTTTTGCTAAAAGTCAAGAAGATCTCACAAATATGTGGAACTTGAAACTTTAGGAACAAGTAGCCTCATAAGAAACATTAGAGATGTCACACTAAAAATAGAAACCAGACCAGAAGTCAGCAAAAGAGTTTAAAAGAGTTTTGGAGTATTAAAGGTATACCGTCGAACTACAAAGATGGAATAGACACTCACCTTCCCGCAATAGTTGTTCATAGATTTCTTTATCTATTGTTAAGTCGATGTCATTATATTTCTCACCACACTTAGACAAGTAGCTGTCTATTGAATCATATCGGGATTTACTGATCCTATAGTTATTGTTCTTCAGTGGCTAAAATTAAAAAAAAAAAATGTTATCCTATGAAGTGATGTAGAGATAAATATTCCAACTAATTATGTAAAAATGCTATTTATTTTTATAAAAACATATAATATAAAAACATCAATAATATAAAAACATCAAGCCACACAGTATATTAGAAAAAAATAAACCCTAAAACAAGTATTACTAGAGAAATTTACACTGTAAAAAATTGGGGGGCAATCTAAGTATCTTTTTTTTCCTAATATGATTTAAATACACTTTTTACTTCTTAAAGCAGATCATTTTCATTAAGTTAGGAAAATAAGTGCCAAGGTGGAAAGTTAAAAAAAAAAATCAAACCAAAAATCTATAATGTAAAACAAAGCTATCAAAATATTTTATTTTTGAAATATTTTCCTACTTAAAAGACTTGCTCCACAGTTTATGAATAGTTACATAAAGCCCAGAGCAGTAATAGTGTCACTCGAGTCAAGCCAATCAGAATCACTTGTTGGCTCCTTTAAAAACATCTAGGTCCGGGTTGCTTACAGTCCTGGAGATTCTTATTTATTAGGACTTGGTGCCTACTGAGCCTGGGTGTCTGTTTTTAAAGGTCTCCATAGGTGGTTCTGGCTGTACACCTGGATGGAGAGATGCAGGCTTAGAGTTCAGCATGCAAACAAGAGGCACTAAGCTACCCTTATTAGGCAAAGCCTGACCCTGTGTATGGACAAGTAATCTGACAAGTTACACTTTCCGAGCAGAGAGCATTGTGTAGCACCAAAAAGCACTCAGGTAGCACCAATAAGCCTTTCGATAAAAAAAAAAAAAAACAGCCATCAGCACTGATTTCCAGAATAGAGGAAAATGGAACCACTAATTTAAAAAGAAGCAAAAACCAACAGTTTTTAATAAATGATAAAAGTTAAACCAAATCCACCCAAACCAAATTACTCTCCTGACATATTTATACCAAACACTATGAGGTTGAAGACTGGAAACAGAGCCAGGTTCATAATCTATATATTTCTCCCCTCGTGTGATTAACTCACTCAGGATAAAAATCTAAGGGAGACCGCAAGAGTATAAGTAGTTACTATAACCCCATTTTAATTGCTTGATTTAAAGGGCTATTAAGGAAAAATCATTCCCACCTCCAGTCCTCTTTCCTCCCGAGTTCTATCATCTACAGATGCAGAAATCACTCCCCAGCGACAATCAATGTCTGACACATAGCCTCGGTAAAAAGGAGATGCAGCACTCAAAGCCATCTAAAAACAAACAGAAGTCAGCTCCTGCGGGTTCGAAGTGTCATCGACATGCTGAACAAAGCTTCATGCAGTTATTTTCCTGGTCAAGAAGAATCAGTTTATGCAAACCATACCAAGTTCTACTACATCTACCGGTGCCTGCTTTCTTACAGTGAAATACACCAGAAATACTTCAGTTTGGTTCATCTCAATGGTCCTTTCTGCACTGTGAGGACATGAAGCATGGGAGGGAGAAAATGGACACACTCCTACTGGGTATTTAACATACACGGGTTTAACTAGCAAAGTAAATGTCTACAGCTGAGACTCCTGGTTCATTAGCTCTCAGTCCACATATGGTTTACAGTAGTTCATTTCTGGATGAAGTCTCGACTGGACTTAAAAGGCACACAGCAAATCCTGCACATGCATTTTTCTATTTATACAAAGAAATATTTAATATAAGATAACATTTTTACTCACGACAATTGGGCAGATAGTGGCCAACTGATCATAAAGGTATCTGGCCTCAGATATGTTGCAGGCTTGGAATGTCACCTGTTGAAGAATTACAAGTTAATTAACAACAACAAAAAATCATTAGCACCCTCCTCCCCAAGCAGTAAAGACTGAGGAAGATGGCTAGACAGGGAGGGGACAAAGTCATGGCACTTCATTGGTGACAACCGTTAGTGCAAGGATGCTGGTTAAAGCCGTCTTGGGTGAACTGAACTGGAAAATGGTATTTAATCAAGGTCTACTACTTACAGACAGCTAATATAAACAACCGAGTTCCGAAGGAAAATAGGCTGAAGAAGTCAGGAAAGAAAAGCACACAATAGATGGTGGAGCTCAGCAAGGCATTTCCCCTCCACTGGCTTATTTCTTCCAGTTTCTTATTTGCTTCAGTTAGTTGAGGGATGTAGGCTGTCAACAATAGCTTTCAAATTTCGGGGGTGGCCGAGTGGGGAATACTGGGGAGGAGGCAGGACTAGGAAGACAGGGAAACAGTTTTGAGATTACAACTGTCCAGGAAAAGCTGAGGAGGGCTGGCGGGAAGAGGCACACCAGTCAAAGTGGGAGGCTTGGGACCAGAGGGACAGAGAGAGCGAGGGGTGACTCCAGGTTGGCCCAGCTATTCCTAGGATACACAGAAAGAAATCAGAGAGGAAGAGGTGCCATGATGAAACTGGCTAAAAGGCCAAGAGGACAACAGACAAAAAGCCTGTAAATGGCTGTGTCTCCAAGGCTGCTTTGTCCAGAAAAATGGGAGCTGGAGAACTATTTGGGAAGTAAGCTCACATGATGTCCCAAAGACAGGGAGATCACCCAGGAAGCCTGCACTAGAGTGGCCAACAGGGCATCTAGGAGTTAGGCGGAGAGTCCAGCCAGGTGATCCAGTGTGTGGTATGCGGGACGGCAGCACTACAAGGCACAAGGCTGACCACAGGCTCGGATCCCCCAGTCACCTTGAGAACACTCAGAGCAGGTGTGTGGGTGGCCAAAATCTTGAGGAGCTGGAGGCTAGGAAAAGGGGATTGTGGGATGCCAAGACCCTGCTGAATGTGTGTGCGTGTACATGCATTCTCACACACACACACACACACACACACTCTTTTATTTTTAATTTTTAAAAAAAGGGAGGTAGGAGGAGCCTTCAGCACAGTGGTTAAGTGCAGTAATGAAGATCCCACATGACAAACTGGGGTTCAACTCCTAGCCCCACAGTACGCCCTGCAGGTTCCAAGTGTCCTGACAGGATAAGAGAACCGGAGGAAAAAAGGACTGCATGCGACCAGGCCCTGTGGTGGTGGTGGTAGGCGTGCATGGGGCGGGGGTGGATGGGGGGGTAATACTTTCTCTTTCTCTCTCAAGTGCTTCCATGCACCCTCTTAAAGAGAGAGACAGAGAAAAACATCACAAAACATGGTTAGCACAAATCCTCTATAATTACCTAAAACAGATCAAAATTCAAAAATATGCCTTCTTTTTGAGGGTGGGGAGTTGTAGAAGGGGCAGGGAAAACAGGGTTTAAGTTAGTACATGTGTAACAAGTCCAATTAGGGAACAGTCAGCTTCCTGTTCTTGTTATTCAGTAATGACAGTTTGAATTTAGTAGTTGGTGCAGGAAATAATTTCAGTGTCTTAAGACTTGGAATAATAGTAGCTGACAGAATGTTTATTGCTACAATCTTAACCTGTTAGTTCCAAAAGTTTAGCTAGGTCTGCTATTTTTTTTTTTTTTTTTTTTAATAGCAGACAACTTCCGCTGGACACTGACATGCTTACTTGCTGTTTTAATAGCATTTCATGGCAGTGTGGTGACTAGTTAGATAATTTAGTATCCTGACCTTTTTTTTGGAGAGTTTTTTGCTACAGGGTGCTCGCCAGACAGAGAGACAGAAAGCGAGAAATCACCTCCCCAGGGAGGATGGTCATGCCACAATCCCTTCTCCTCCATTCTCCTCTCAAGATCTTGGGCACGCACGCACACGCGCCCAGTGTGAGTTCTAAGCCACCGGGTCCGGGACACAAACCGCGGTCGACTACGTGGGAATCCAGAGACATAGCCATTACGCTAACTGCTGGTCCCCTAGTCCTGACCTTCTTATAATTGCTGGGCTAATGCATAAATCGGCACCACACTTTAAAAGGTGATGACAATTAATTAACCATTATAAATTAATTCAAAGTGAAGTGCTATGTCATAGACATCAAGGAATAAGAGTTTAAAAGGCTAAAAATGATAAAGATTGGGGAACAGCAAGTAGTGTGGTAGTTAAGACACTGGACTGTCACATGGTCGGCCAGTTTGAGTCCTGTATCTGGCAGTTAGAAAATTATGCTGGGCATATGTGTGTGCTTGCTCAGAATCCCAAGAAGAGAATGGAGAAGTACTGCAGTATGGCCATCCACCAGGGGGCGATTTCTCTCTCTCTCTCTCTCTCTCTCTCTCTCTCCAATGAGCGCATGCGCCCTATGGCAAAAACCTTAAACAAAAAAATAAAGGACAAAGATCGAGAAGGAATGGCAATTAGGTCATGATAACCAAATCAAGGCTAGTTTCTGCAAAGAGGAGGAAACTTGGAAATCAGTTCGTGCACGTAAGGATTAAATGAGAAGTGGGGAACCGGGAGAAGTGAAGTGAAGGACTGCGTGCGTGTGTGTAGTGAGCCCATCCATGCGCTGTAGGCTCCCGGACAGGAGGGAGCTGGGCTACTGTTCTCTACACGAGTGTGTAGACAGTCTCTGACATTATTTAATAAAGAGTATCGTGAAGAAAAAAGAGTGATAAAGAGAACACAGCAGCACAGATAGTGAGGTACCTGAACAACTGTGATCCTAAAGGCCAAATTTAAAAGCATTAAGATGAAAAATATCTAAATATGCCCCAAGTATTTTGACTGATGAACACCTATCTCTTAGTATATTGAGTTCCTTTTCGTGTTACTCTTGGGCATGTGTGGGTGTGTGTGTGTGTGTGTGTGTGTGTGTGTGTGTGTGCATGTGTTACTTTTGTTTTTTAAATGATACTATGAAGCAGTTTTTCTCTCTAGTTTTTTGACTGGCTTCCCTTAGCTGGTCCAGTACACAGTGGATAAGTCATGGATGGATTCAGGAAAAGCCAACTCTCACAGTTTCCTTATGAAAATTAGTAATTGGAATTTAACATTCAGCTTACAATGAAGTGATTTAGTCATTTTAAATGAGTTTACTAACTATTGGGTTCTTGGAAAAATCAGGACATCTTTTTGCATAGAAAAACAGAAAAAAGAGTCATGACTTTCCTGACAACTCAGTAGCTTTCACACGAGAGCTGATATTGTGAACATCAAATCAAACAGGACATCACTGTGGAAAGGAGCTTTAACAGGAGAAGGAAAAAGCAGCTTTTTCAACTTAACAAAGTATAAATCTATGAACTGCTTCAGCTGCTGCTACCCCTTTATTTTTTTGAGAGGTTTTTGCTATAGGGAGCATGTGCTGGCCAGACAGAGAGAGAGAGACAGAGAGACAGAAAGCGAGAAATCAGCCCCCAGGGGGGATGGCCACACCGCAATCCCTTCTCCTCCGTTCTCCTCTCAGGATCTTGGGCACGCACGCACACGCACCTGGCGTGAGTTTTAAGTCACCGGGTCAGGGACACGAACCGCAGTCGACTACATGGGAGTCCAGCGACATAGCCATTATGCTAACTGCTGGTCCCTCTGCTAAGCCTTTAAAGCATCATATAGCCAAGGGGCACAGGCTGGCTTGGTGGCACAGTGGGAAAGCACGGCTCACGCGATGCCAGATCCACATGGAGGATCCTCAGATTCACTGGCTGTGTGCCCATGATCCTGGCAGGCTGGAGAGACTGGGGGATCAGTGTGGGACCCTAGTGGGGGTGCTTCCCACTCTCGAAACACACTTCATGAAAGAGAGAAATGCCACAATGACACTAGGAAATTGACAAGAGGGGACACAAAAAAGAGGAACTATGAAAAAATAGATGTTAGAGACCTAAAAAAAAAACTTTAAAATTTACTAAGAACCTAGTTTTTCAGGCTGCATTATTTTCTTGAGGATATAAAAACTTTCCTAACATGTCACAAGCTTACTGCTTATTTAATGATTCTGGAAAAGCCCCCAATCACCAACTTGAATTGTGATTAAAATGCTTTTTGTTTACAGTAACCCTATAAAAATTACTTTGGTTGGGGGCTATCCCCATAACCTAGTGGTTAAGGGAGATGGATCTCACATGGCCAATCGTGGTTTCAATCCCAGCCCTAGATGCTTCAAAAGCGTAAGATGTGGTAGAGAAGGGACTATGGTGTGACCGATCATGCGTCATCAGAGCGTCTTCTCTCTTTTTTTTTTCTCTCTGGCTAGCATGTGCACTCTGTGATGGTTGAAAAAATATTACTTTAGGGCCCAGTTGCAGTGGCTCATGCTACTAATATACTGTGCTCCACAGGCTGAAATGCATGGAAGGTCTGAGCTCAAGTTCCAGTCCCTCTAAACCTGGCACAGTGGTGTGTGCCTGTAATCCCAGTGATGCACAAATGCCGAGGCAGGAGGATTAGGAGTTCGAGACTGGCTTGAGCTGTATAGTTTAACTGTCTTAAAAAGAGCTGGGCATGGTAGCCTGTGTACTTTAGCCCTGATTGGGAGGGTGAGCAGCACGACTGGGACAGCAAAACTTATCTAAAATAAAAACTATTGGGGCCAGCAGGTGGCGTGGTGGTTAGGGCACTGGACTCCCACTAAAATATATGTCTGCTTTACTGTAATAGGCAGGTTTGAATGTTTTGTTTTTTTGAGAGGTTTTTACTATAGGGCGCATGTGCTCGCCAGACAGAGACAGAGAGACAGAAAGCGAGAAATCACCCCCTCCCCGGGGGGGATCGTCATGCCGCAGTCCCTTCTCCTCCATTCTCCTCTCAGTATCTTGGGCACACACGCACACGTGTGCCCGGCGTGAGTTTTAAGCCACCGGGACCGGGACACGAACCGCGGTCGACTATGTGGGAGTCCAGTGACATAGCCATTACGCTAACTGCTGGTTCCCGGTTTGAATGTTTTAATCAAGAGATACAGAGCAGGGATTTCTTTGGTGATTTGTGGAGTTTATCCCATTTACTAAATACTTTATGTTAATCTGTGCTTCTGATGTTTAAAATGACATGTATGAAACTGGACATATCACGGGGAAAAAGCAAACTTAAAAGTATATACCCTTAACAAAACTTAAATGGAATGGAAAATCCTATCTACAGGCAAACATGTTGACCATCTACCATCAGGATGCACATCTCTGTCTAAACACACTGTTTCAGGAGCGGATATCCCTTATGGAAGTGTACTGGAGCAACCGTGCTGTCCTTGGCAGAACACCCTGGTTTAATATTAAACCAAGAAAAGGCAACTGGTACTCTAACAGCACTCAGACAATTTGAAAGCCATGTACTGTAAGTTCTGGGGCCAAATAGTTCTCTTCAGAAATATTTGTAATTAAGATAGGAAAGTAGATATGCAGTTAAAAGTCAAAAGGTCTCTTTCTCTCTCTCTCTTTTTTTTTAATTTAGCCTGGCCATTTGTAAGGAAACTTACTTGCCTGTGTTGTTTAGAAGCCACATACTTGGTCCTACCTGTATGTGTCATGAAAAGAGAAAACAAATAGTAACCATATCCATGTAATTTATACACAGTTGGCATGAAAAAACCTGACTGTGGCATTCTGTTTGGATTATGAATAGTTTGAGAGACAAATAGCTCAGGGTACAATTGTAAGAAGGTGTGTGCACTGGCTGCAGCTGTTTGAGATGAAGGGAAAGCTGGGATTCTTGGCTTCTGAGCTGAGAGTGATCAGGCAGGAGGTCTGCAGGGGCCTGACATGGGGGTGGGGGGCAGACTTTGCACTGCCCCAGGGCCCTATGGACTCTGCTTATAATCAGCTGAGGTAATTAGAACTGGACAGTAACAAGCCGTCTCTTTTTTTTCTATACTGAAATTCTCAATTTATATTTTGTGCACCCTCTTCTTCTGTTCTAACAAAATTGTAATCAAATTAAAGGCGAAAGCAAATATTTCTGATAATAAAAGCAATGAATAAATATTAGCTTAAGAGTTAGACCTAGAAAGAGCCTTAATATGAATTCCTTTTTAAAAAAATTATTTCATTTAACTTTATTTATCAATTTATTGATTTCAATTTGACCAGAGAGGAACAGAACGAGAGAGAAAGACAATGCAAGCCACCAGGTCCAGGACCCAAACCACGGTTGACCAGGTGGGAGGAGTCTAGCACCCTTAACCACCATGCCACCTGCCAGCTCCAATATAAATTCTTTTAACTGATGAGAAAAACTGAGCCAAAAGGAGTGAGTTGCCCAGATACTCAAGTAGTGACAGCCAACAGCTGATGTGTCCTTCCACTCCATCTTAAGTGGCCTGGGCAAAATCACTGCCAGGGCACCCATAATGTAATCAGATCCAGGAAACAGTTTAAATGAGTAAATAGAGAAAAACTATTTTACCCCCTGTGTAACTTAACCAAGGGCAAGGCAAACACAGGCTGCTAAATATTTATTTTTTATGCCACCAGATGGCTTTGCTCAAATGTAAAAATCTCAAGTCCAAATAACCCTTCCCTTGCATCGCAAAGTCCTTGGAGCACTTCCATCACTGCTCATTTCCAGAAACAAGAGACTTGAACAATGCGGAACCACCTCACTGCTTGTCACTAGATGGCAGTAAAAATTAGGCATACAGAAAAGAGAGCAACCACAAAATATCCTGCATTTTAAATTAATTAACAGTAACGTGTGCTTGGAGTGAACTATAGATTCTGCAGAACTCCTAGTAATGAATTTATGAAATATTTTCATTGGTTTTCAGAAAGACACATAGGCTATCACTCAACCTAATTTTATTTATAAATATTAAGTTTATTTCTTCCCTGGGAGAGATAAGGGGGAGGTCTTGACAATGTGACCCAACCCCCAGCCTCGACCAGCCCTGGATGACAGGCAAGCGCCCAGCATACTCAGGAGGTCTTCAGATGCAAACCTGGAACTTTCCCAAGTGGGTCAGTCTTTCAGAACAATGTGTTTTACTGCCGTGCCACCATCTGTCCCTAACTGTGATTTTTTAAAACAGAAAACACACGCATGTAAAGAAAACCATCAATAGAAAAGGATGAGAGCACTTTGCCTCTGTGGACACTTGAAACGATACCTGGAGACAACAATTGCCCATCCCAAATCCCATGGCGTCCATGTAAATATGGTCCGGCTTGGAAGCCCTTGCTGCCTCATCATCTTCAGGAAACGTTTCTATAAACGGAGATGGTGTATTCTTGTCCTTAAATACTGTGTTAAGAGAAAAAACAACGGTTGCAAGTCAAGGATGAAATGACGATTCAACTGGTATCTGTCCCATCAATTTATTGATTTCAATTTGACCAGAGAGGAACAGAACGAGAGAGAAAGACAATGCAAGCCACCAGGTCCAGGACCCAAACCACGGTTGACCAGGTGGGAGGAGTCTAGCACCCTTAACCACCATGCCACCTGCCAGCTCCAATATAAATTCTTTTAACTGATGAGAAAAACTGAGCCAAAAGGAGTGAGTTGCCCAGATACTCAAGTAGTGACAGCCAACAGCTGATGTGTCCTTCCACTCCATCTTAAGTGGCCTGGGCACAATCACTGCCAGGGCACCCATAATGTAATCAGATCCAGGAAACAGTTTAAATGAGTAAATAGAGAAAAACTATTTTACCCCCTGTGTAACTTAACCAAGGGCAAGGCAAACACAGGCTGCTAAATATTTATTTTTTATGCCACCAGATGGCTTTGCTCAAATGTAAAAATCTCAAGTCCAAATAACCCTTCCCTTGCATCGCAAAGTCCTTGGAGCACTTCCATCACTGCTCATTTCCAGAAACAAGAGACTTGAACAATGCGGAACCACCTCACTGCTTGTCACTAGATGGCAGTAAAAATTAGGCATACAGAAAAGAGAGCAACCACAAAATATCCTGCATTTTAAATTAATTAACAGTAACGTGTGCTTGGAGTGAACTATAGATTCTGCAGAACTCCTAGTAATGAATTTATGAAATATTTTCATTGGTTTTCAGAAAGACACATAGGCTATCACTCAACCTAATTTTATTTATAAATATTAAGTTTATTTCTTCCCTGGGAGAGATAAGGGGGAGGTCTTGACAATGTGACCCAACCCCGAGCCTCGACCAGCCCTGGATGACAGGCAAGCGCCCAGCATACTCAGGAGGTCTTCAGATGCAAACCTGGAACTTTCCCAAGTGGGTCAGTCTTTCAGAACAATGTGTTTTACTGCCGTGCCACCATCTGTCCCTAACTGTGATTTTTTAAAACAGAAAACACACGCATGTAAAGAAAACCATCAATAGAAAAGGATGAGAGCACTTTGCCTCTGTGGACACTTGAAACGATACCTGGAGACAACAATTGCCCATCCCAAATCCCATGGCGTCCATGTAAATATGGTCCGGCTTGGAAGCCCTTGCTGCCTCATCATCTTCAGGAAACGTTTCTATAAACGGAGATGGTGTATTCTTGTCCTTAAATACTGTGTTAAGAGAAAAGACAACGATTGCAAGTCAAGGATGAAATGACGATTCAACTGGTATCTGTCCCACCCCACTGTCTTGCGATGTACTTACTTGGTACATTGATGACAACCTTTTCTCCTCGCCTATGTCGGATATTTCTTGTTAGGGTACTAAAACAGACAACCAAACGTCATAAATCAGTCACCTACGAGTCATCATGTAAAAGAAGAATTTGAGCATACACAAGTAAATGGAATCAAAACCTACCTCAAACCAATTCCCTAAGACAATCCTACAGAAAGTACATGTGTGCCAAGAGACTAAAGGAACTTCCTGAACGAAGGTTTGCATCACCACAGGTTCCCCTGGCTCTCGGCTCTGGCTTGAGAATGCCACTGTCTCCCCCTGCTCAACCTCTGCTTCTGCAGTTCCCTGTAACTTACCAAATCAAGGCCGGTTTCATCCTATACTTCGAACATTTCCCATGTTAATTCCAAAGACTTTCATACTCATTTCCCCAGACATCTCTGAAATCCCAATCCCCTGTTCTCCCTTCCCTCGGTCTGTAGAATGAATGTGATAAATATACTCCAGACATGTGCTGTCTGACCCAGAAGCTACCAGGCACCTTGTGGCTATTACGTGCTTGAAATGTGGCTAGTCCTAACCAAAACATGCTGTGAATAAAATACACACCAGATCTTGAGGACTTAGTACAACAAAAAACGAAGTCTGACTTTGCACAAATAATTTAAAAATACTCATCACATATTGAAATAACATTTTGGATCTACTAAGCAAAATATATCATAAAATGAATTCCACCTGAATTTTACATTCAACATGGCTACTAGAAAATGTACGATTACCTCTGTGGTTGGCATTACGTTACTACTGGACGATGCTCATACATACTAAGCCTGCTTTGATCTCCTCAAGAAGCAGCCTCCTTTCTCTAAAGAGGACCTCTGGCACTACCAGCTTTTGACATCTGTCATAATCTTTTCTTGTAGATCTGAATGTTTTTATTTTCCTTTAAATACACAACAATTGAAGCTGGAAATGTTGTCTCCACCCACGACTCTGCCCGTGGCAGGTGTGCAGGCTTGTTAAAGAAATGAACATGGAGAAGCGCCAGTGTCCCTAACTCTGGGTCAGGAGCCTAAGCACAGAATAATGGGTGAGAGCTTAAGGTATGAAGCCAAGATGAGATTGGTAAGGCTCCAAAGTAACATAAAACCTAATAGTTAAACCACAACTTAAGAGAATTAGAAGTTAATAGAAGGTAGAGAAGGTGTGTGTGTGTGTGTGTGTGTGTATGCTGTACATATTTTACTTCATTACCTCAGTGTGAGAGGAGATCACAGATATTGGTGGTAACTTACAAAGCAGGGGAAAGGAAAGAATAATGAAGGGAAAGCTTCGTGAAATAGGTGGTTCCAGAACTATGATCAGAAAGAACCTGCTCATTAAAGGGGAAGACAGTGGCTCCACTAGTGACTTTAAGACGACTTGGAAATAGACAAATTAAGCCTGGATACAAGAAGCAACAATCAAGTACCCTTGGGAATACTGAGCATGTGAACAGGTACACGTCTGCTGTTTTCTCTGGTTATTTAGGAAAGCAGCCAGAATTCATTATATGCATAAAAAGGATTTCTAGACAGAAATATCAAACTTTCAGAAGACAGGGATCTGAGTGAAGGGCATCTACATTTCAACACAAAGCCATACTCACCCGAAGCGGGGGTGCTTGTTTATTGCTTCATCTGGAAAGAAGAGGGACTTGGAAGCTCCTCCTTCGACCGGGTTGGGTTTGTACTCGGGCAGTGTGAACCCAGGACAGCCTAATCTACAACAAATTGGAGAACTAAATAGATGGGACAGGACTAATTACATGTAGCCTTGCCATCACTGCACCTGTTATAAACACCTCACATATGTGTTCTGTGTACATAAAAAGATAGCGTTTTGTAAAGACCGTGCCCCTTTTCCGCCACTACCTGGAACTCTGTCACCTTGCTCGGCAAATCTTCTTGTGTGGTCCTGGTCCATGACTGACTTTACTAGTCTGCATGCACAGCTGCTGGGCACCGACTGCAATCGCCCATCTGTCCCCAGCCTCCTGACAGGCATTATTGGGATCTGGAAGGGTTTTTTTTTTTTTGCCTCTGCAGGTCACTTCACATGTCCTTCAAGGACAGGTAGTAGTATCTCTGTAGGTGTCCCCACTCACCCCTGAGATCTCCCTCTGAAGCCTGAAACTCAACCCTGTTATCTCACTTGACCTAAAGAAGAGCTCTAATTCCAACAAAGCAAAATGAAGTTGCACGCTGCTCTCGAAATATAAAGCTCAACCCACACATGGTCACTGCAGTGATGCCACCAGTTACTCCAAGTTGGGAGTTTTAAGGTCAATGTTAAGTGCGCAGTGAGGGAGAACAAAGACTAACAAAGTCAGTGAAACTGAAACAAGGGAAGCTCTTGTCAGGGTTTTAGATCAGTGGTAGGAAGCTTTGGTTTGAGGGCCAAGACTAACCCGTGCCTTATTCTCAACCCCTACCTTTTATAAAATGAAGTAGCTGTTGGCTGCCCACATCCACTTTGTAAACAAGAGCTGCAGTGTTGATCTTATCTGAAAAACAGCTCCCAGCTCTAAAGTTCCTGAGAACTCCTGTCGTATGCACATTATGTACTATGTACCTGCAACCTTCAGAAAAGTCCTTCAGCAGCGTGACAAACTTAAATCTGGGGGATTCTTGCTAACCTGAGTCAGATTATGTGAAGAGAGAAGGAGCATGTGTTCGGGTGGCAGGGAGAAGGAAGAGTCAGACCTGCAGACCATCAGACACAGAGTACTGCTTTCTCCCACGCCAGTGCAAAGCAGGGCCTTCTGCAACAAAGGGGATGTTTAACACCTGCACTGCCCAGACCTAGGCGGTAGTCACTAACTGCATGTGGCCACTGAGCACTTGAAGTGACACTAGTATGGTCGCCTGAAATTTCCATGTCGTGTACGTTTAATCAATGTAAATGTAAATCATCTCTTGGTCACTGTTTTGGGCTACAGTTCCAAATAATGTAGATAAAAGGGGGATGCTTCTAACAGGTAAATAACTAGTAAGTACTCTTGTTTTGCATATAAGTCCAGAAACAATATCACTGCCTAATACGTGTAGCGAGGCTTTTACAAAATTATAGATTTTGGGGATGGCAGGTGGCGTGGTGGTCAAGGGCACTGGACTCCCACAAATCCAACTGTGGTTTGAGTCCCAGAGCTGATGGCTTGCTTTCTCACTTTCTCTCTCTCTCACTCTGGCCCTCTCTAGTCAAATAAAAATAAATAAATAAAGTCAAATAGAGTAAATATTTAAAAAATTATTATTATAGATTTTTGGGACCAGAAGATAGCATAATGGTTATGTCACTGGACTCCCATGTAGTTGACTGCAGTTTGAGTCCCAGACCCAGTAGCTTAAACTCATACTGGGCGCATGTGTGTATATACTCAAAATCCTGAGAGGAGATTAAATAGAATGGATTGTGACATAGCCACTCTCCTGGAGTGATTTCTCATTTTTCTATTTCTCTGAAAACAAAACAAAACAAAACAAAACTCCTAAAAAAAATTAATGATTTTTAAAACAAAACTTATTCCTCTGTTTCAACTCTCCCCTCATAACAACCTAAGAAGCTCTATCTTGGACTAATCTGTGACAAGGTGGTAATGCTCTGCTCAAAGCAGCTGGATCCCTGAGTGAGCAGGTGGCATATTGATTAAAGTGCTGGACTCCCACAGGCTGACTGTGGTTCATATCCTGGATCTGGTGGCTTGCTTTCTCACTCCCTTCTCCCCTCTGGTGAGCATATGCACACTATAGCAATTTTTTAAAAAGACTTATTTATTTTATTTTATTATTATTTTATAATTTCATCAGAGAGAGATAGAGAAAGGGAAAGTGAGAAAGCAAGCCACCAGGTCTGGGATTCAAACCTCAGTTGGCCATGCAGGACTCCAGTGCCTTAACCATCATGCTACCTAACCAGCCCCAGTAAATAATTCTTTAAAAAAAAAAGAAAAGAAAAGAAAAGAAAAGAAGCTGGATCCCACATGGTGAATCCAGTCTGAAACCCCAGATATGCTGGGCATGTGTGTGAATGCCAGGATCTGCTGGGCTAGAGAACTGGAGGAAGAGGAGTGTGGCATTGCCAGAGCCTACGGACAGTGCTCCTCTCTCTAGCTCCCTCTCCCATGAACGTGTATAACACGCTTTCATGAGCAAAGGAGGAAAAACAGAAGCTGAATTTTTCAAAAAGACACACTAGGGGGGCTGGCAGGTGGTGTGGTGGTTGAGGCACTGGATTCCCACATGGTTGACCATAGTTCAAGTCCTGGACCTGGTGGTTTGCTTTCTCGCTTTTCCTTTCTCTCTGGTCAAATCAATACAATGATGATGATGATAATAAATAAAATGAATAATTAAAAGAAAGGACACAGTAGGTTTCACTAAAAACTTTACTTTGTGGCCCAGAAGAATACACATATCAATATTACATATATAAATACCTAAATTTAAAAATAATATGATTAAACAATTTTGGCTTGTAAATATAAACCCCATTATTTTTAATTTGCTAAGTGAAATATACAAGCCCAGTAATGGTAAGGAAAAAAGGAAAAGTGTAAGATGAAAAATTTTTACAGTTCACCTTGTCAAATAACATCTGCAATCTATTTGTCTACTCTCTTATTCTAAGGTTTTCATAACAACTCACACCAACAGCCTTGAAATCTCTTCTGTCCCCACCAAGCTCACTGATTTTGCCATCCGTCAGGACACCCACTTCTTCCATTTCCACCACCCATGCTCAGCCATCCCACCGCCATCTTCCCGAGGGAGCCCCTTACTCATCCTTGAAGTCATGACACCTGCTCCACAGCCATTCTCATGCTACAGCCCAAATGAGAGCTAAGAAATAAAAATGGGATGCTATCTGCCCAACCCAACCTTCCCAAGGCCTTCTCCTACTTTTGGGAGAACCAAGGTAGCCCACCAACTACCTGCCCAGCCTCACCTTCCCCTGATGCCCTCACTTTCGATTTGTCCTCAGCCTCCTAGTCACATGGCCAACTTGCTTTCATCTAATTCCCAGACTGTTATGTGCTCACGTGGGTCACACACATGCCACTCTCCTCCTCTCCTAGAACTATGGATACCCCTTTGACAATCCTTCAGAGAAGCCTTTCCCCACACCCCCAGAGCCCAACATGTAGCTGCGTCAGGCTCTCTGCTCTGCAGCTCTTTTCCATGGCCTTGCCCCAACTTGACATTCACTGCATCTGTGGGTGTCCGATTAATCTCTGCTCCACCCCTCACATAACCCCAGCTCCGAAAGCCTATCTGTTCCCCTCATGGCAGCATGCCCATTCTGCCTGCGCCCGGCTGGAGCAGGCACCAAGTATCTGAGTGAACAGCAGGGTCCATGACTTTTTACCTCCTCTCAATACTGGGGCAAAGGACTGTGCCAGCTCTTACCAAAACAAGCCCATCCGCCCTCACCCTGCCAAGTTTTTTAATTTGTGGGAGTGAAAGGATCACAGAAAACAAGAGATATTTCTCTAAATGTTTGATGATTTACGCAGAAAGGACAACGGAGATTTTAAAAAAAGAAAACTCTCATTTAAATGTCCCTCTCGAACCAGTGATATGACTCTGAATGCCTGTGTTATTTATGGACATTTTTCAGAAAAGAAGGTACAAAAATAGTTCAAAGTGTTCTAGGCAGTGGTGCAAACCTCCATTGCTCTTTTGAACCCTGAGGTAAATCTACTTGTCACCATCTGACAGATTTCTAGCATAGATAAATCCAACTTAGGACTAGGCAGGGGTGCATTCTTACATAGAGTCCTGCATATAACACACACAGGATATTTATCGACCTCATTCTAAGCTGAGGGCATAATTTCACCATGCGTATCGACTTTCAGTCATAACACTAGATTTGATGACAATATCCAAATATGACCTAAAGACTCACGTCATTAGTGGTTACTAGGCATCAATGGGGCACCAGGAGCACAGGTGACTTGTCGGCACCACCCGCCAATAGGTGCTCCTTGCACAAGTATATGAGGTAGCAGATGAGAGTCGTCAGGAGACTCAGCTGCTGCCACAGGGCCAGGAGGCTGGGCAGGCATGCTGCTCTCTCCGCCATGCCTGTGGTAGACATTCACATGGATAAGCAGTCATGACAGTCACTGGTCTTTCCCAGGAGCCTGGGTAAGTGCTCTTACCATGGTGCACCCATGAAGCCCTCCCACTAACTGAAGCTGGCCGGCATTTTCTGCCTACAGAGTCTACTGAGTGCAGTACATACAGGGTGAACGGTCTGTAAAGTATGAGAACTAGAGGGTAAGAGGCCTGGGTCACCACTTGCTTTCTTCTAACCTACAGCCCTGATAAATCTGCTGGGGCATGTCAACGTAGACACTAACCTGGGAAATGAAGTTATTGTGCAAAGAGCCTGATTTTCTTCTAATACGGAAGTAGCTTCCTTCCGACGTTTTCTCATGTTGTCCTCAACTGTGTTGAACTCAGACATGGTTCCTCCGTAAGGCTGTCCAGGTGTTCCTTCGATCATGTAACTTCCATATTCCGGTCTCCAAAGGGTAGGATGGCTATGGAGAAACATTTTAGTTCTATCTTATTCCTTAGCTGAAGTCTGCTTATTTTGCAAGTTTTTCATTTTAATTTAGAAATGATACAAATGAATTTAGAAATGGTACAAATGATGTTAATTCTCCATAGCTCTTGAACTACTTGAAAGGTTAACATCTATTGAGTCCAAAATATTTATAAATTAACTGAAAACATCATAGGGTGCTCAGTGTCTAGAATATGCTAGTCCACTTTGCAGGAGAGAAGATGGATCTTTACACATTCAATGCTTGGGGTTCAAACAGAAACACCACTTCCCCAAAACAAGTCTGTGGGTGATGATAGGGAGTACAGCCCCTTTCCTCTCGTTGTCTATTACAGAAATACTGTAAAAAGACCGTGCCAGTCGAGCAAACTCATCTGCAAGTTTTATGTTATGGCATAGTTTGGAATTTTAGTTTTGTTTTGGCAATTTTTTTTTTTTAAAGTTTAATAGTAGTGAACAGGCTTTCTATTCAGCTTACTATACTAAGTGCTTTAATATATTAGTGTATTTAATCCCAGCATGCTAGAGGGAAGTGTTCTTACTAATCCATTTTACAGACAAGGAAACGGAAGCACAGAGAGATTAAATCTTGCCTAAGGTCACTTAGCTATTGCGTAGAGAAACTAGGATTTGAAACCCAGGTAACCTAGAAACAGAGTCTGCGCTCTTACCTGCTATGCTATCCTGTCCTGCTATAAGTGTGAGCGAGTCTGTATTCTAGTAGCTTTACCAGTTTCAGAAACACTAAAACAAGCCTTTAGTACATCAGCTTACTTTGGATTTGTCCTTTCCCCCTTCTCTTGTAGAATTTCAAGAACTTCCTCTCCAGACAGGATCAACTGGACTTTTTTATTTTCATGATCAAAAGATACCAACATGTATTCCACCTATTGAAAATAAGGGTGAGAAAGATTTAACATTCTTCCAGGCTCAAGCTTGGAGCAACCTTTAGAAGAAAAAGGCAGGAAATATGAAGGTTGGGAGGGCTCTGCAGTAACTGGAGACACATTTGCTTATGCTACAGTACATAGTAAGTACTTGTTTGCATAATATGAAATCCAGCAGAAGACAATCGGTCAACAGTAGCACTGTGTGAGGACAGGAACTCTTACTTTTTGGTCCTTCTTTCCCCTATTTTACTTACTATCCCACAGAAAGGTCAAGATGCCCATTTTGACAAATTTTACTTTCAGAAAGATGTGTTTCAAAGCTAAGATTAGGTAAATTACAGATGTAAAAAAGTTTCATTTTAAAATTTATTTCCTGGGGACCAGCAGATGGTGTAATGGTTACACCACTGGACTCCCATATGGCTGACCGCAGTTCGGGTTCCAGACCCGGTGGCTTGCATGAGTGCCCAAAATCCCAGGAGGGGAATGCAGAAGGGACTGCATCACCTCTCTGGGGGGTGATAGCTCACTTTCTCTCTCACAGTCTCTGTCTCTCTCCAGTGAGGACACATGCGCTATGGCAAAAATCTCTAAAAAATAGAAAAAAGAATTATTTCTCAATTGGCTTACTGTTAAGTTTAAGGAGGAGGCTATCTGGATTCTAGGTAAGGTAGATTATTTACTTCTTGGGGGACTCATCAACAATCCCAGTACAAGTTCTACTTCTTGAAAGTTAAACCACCATCATAAAGACATCGATGTGATATTTTAGGGATTTCAACAAGTTATTTTTGGTTTCTCATTAGTAATTTTACACAACTTCCGCCCTTTGAAACCATATTATATTCATAATGCATAGTATACTGATGCATTTATAGTAATACCTGCTAGAATTCTGATGAAAGAGTTAAGGCTTTTCTGAGGAAAATTATAAAAATCTAAAAAAAGAAATAGAAAACAACACAAAAAAAGTGGAAAGAAATCCCATGTTCCTGAATTGGAAGAGTTAATATAATCAATCAAAATGGTGATTCTACCCAAATTAATCTACATATTATATACAATTCCAGTCAAATGACCAGAGACATTCTTCACAGATTTACAAAAGACAATCATAGAGTTTGTCCAGACTCATTAAAGACCCCATATTGCCAAAGCAATCCTGCACAAGAAGAGTGGAGTAGGAGACATCTCTCTCCTTGACCCCAAAATATATTACAAAGCGGTGACAATCAAAACAGCATGGTATTGGCACAAAAACAGGCATGTGGACTAATAGAACAAAAGAGAGACCTCAGAAATAAACCCCCAAACATACAGCCAACTGATTTTTGACGAAGGGTCCCAGGCAATACAGTGGGAAAAAGAAAATCTCTTAAGCAAACAGTGCTGGAAAAACTCTTATCTGCCTTCAGAAAGATGAATCTGAACCCGTCTGTCATAATTAACAAAAATCAACTCAAAGTGGATCAAAGATCTAAACGTAAGACCATAAACTATAAAACTATTGGTGGAAAACACTGGAGAAACTCTGGAGACATTGGGATAGGCAAAGACTTCTAAAATAAGACCCCAAAGCATAGGCAATAATCCTCAAGACAGATAAATGGGATTACATCAGATTAAGAAGTTTCTGCACAGCAAAACACACAGTAATTAGGGTGAGTCAACAATCTTGGGAATGGAAGAATATTTTTGTATACTATGTCTCAGATAAGGACCTGATAACCAGAATACACAAGGAACTTAAGTGGCTTAACCCCCACCCCCCAAAAAAGATCAACCCAATTAAAAGATGGGGAAATATGCTGAACAAAGAACTCTCTAAGGAGGACATACAAGCAGCCAAAAAGCTATGAAAAAATGCTCAGCATCCCTCATCAAAAGGGAGCTGCAGATCAAAACCACAATGAGATACCACTTGACCCATTCAGAATGGCAAATAAAAAAATAAAAAATAAATATAAAAAGTGCTGATGGGGCTGTGGTGACAGGGGAACTCTCCTTTACTGTTACTGGAAAAGTCAATTGGTCCAGTCACTGTGGAGACCAATATGGAGGTTCCTCAAAGATCTAAAAATAGAACTACCATATGATCCAGCAGTTCCACTCCAAAGGACAGGAAAACGCTCAGTCGAAAAAGTGCTTGCACATCCATGTTTATTGCGGCATTATTCACAATTGCTAAGACATGGAACCAATTCATGTCCACGAACAGCTGAATGAAATGAAAAAGAGTGGCTCATTTACTCTATGAAATACTACTCAGCCATAAAAAAAAAAACAACAAAAACCTGGCATTTGACAGAAAGTGGGCAAATATGGAAGATTTACTGCTGAGTGAAGTAGATCAGATTATGAAAGAGACTATATGTCTCCACTTAATATATACCAACTTTCCATACTGTATGGCAGAAACTGAAAGATTATAGAGGATATAGAAGTATGGAAAATGGTTATGGATACTGGAGACAGTGTAGGAAGAGGAAGAAGCGGGGAGAGTGTGAGAAAATAAATTAAAAATAGAGAAGCAAGACATTTATGGGACACAGAAATAGACCGCTGTCGATTGATAAAAACATTTATACTATCCTCAACTGGACTAGTGTGAGATGTGTTCAGGCTGAGTAAATTCACTTTACAAGCTAAGTGATATATAGTCACTGAATGTATAAAATTAAATAAAGACTTTTCTGGGCAGAGTACAATCAGAACTAGCGTTTGTTTTCCCTTACATGTTTTAAATCATTATAGTTGGTACAAATTAGTAAAGATTACACCCACCATCCCTATGTAAGCGAAAAGGTATGGAATTTGATTATTCTGGCAAATGCTTAAAAAGTACCTTTTGAGAGACCAGCAGGTGGCATGGTGGTTAAGGCGTTAAACTCACACATGCCCTACTGCAGTTGAGTCCTGGACACAGCAGCTTGAAAATCACAATAGGCTCGTGTGCATGCATACCACAAATCCCAGGAAAACAAAGGAGAAAGGACTGCTGTGTGGCCATCCCCCCGGGGGGTTATTTTTCACTTTCTCTCTCTCTCTGGCGAGTGTACATTCCCCTATGGCAAAAACCTAAAGTACCCTTTGCACAAAGTACCAAGTTACTGTAGTGAAGAGGTAGAAAAACTGATGTCCCACAGTCCACACATGTACTTAAGTTTGGCTGAGAGTAATATTAGTTTTTCAAAAAGCCAATATTAGTTTTTCAAAAAGCTCATGAAGGGATCAGCAGATGGTGGAATGGTCACCTTGCTGGACTTCTATATAGTCGACAGCAGTCTGAGTCTCAGGCCTGGTGGCTTAAAACTCATGTGGGGCATGTGTGCGTGCATGCCCAAAATCCCGAGGAGAAGGGATTGTGGTGTGGTCATCCCCTCTGGGAGGGTGACTTCTTGCTTTCTGTTTCTGTCTTTCTAGTGAGTGCACCACTCTATAGCAAGAATCTTAAAAAAAAAAAAAAAAGAAAGAAAAAAAGAAAAGAAAGAAAGAAAGAAAGAAAGAAAGAAAAAGTTCAGGAAAAAATGTGTATTATGGAAAAATTATGCATATGGATTTCAAATTTTTTTGCCAAAATAGACTCATACTTTAATTCCATTTTCCACGAACTTTTTGAAGTCCCTTTGTATATCCACCATCTGTCACCCTGATATTTAAACATCCAAACTCAGATTCTTGGTTTTAACAACAAATACCCAGAAACCCTACACTAAGCCTGTATCTGCAGGGCTGGGGGTGGGGTGAGAATGCTCTTTAGGGTACATATTCTTGGTCTGCCTGGCCTGCTCTGTTTATTTGTGCCTGCCTGCCCAGTCTTGAAAGGCATTTCAGTCAGCCGTCCCCATCACTGAAATGGTAAGTTAAGAGATTGTTTTGCCCTTCAGCTAAAAAATATGAAGAGGAAAAAAGGTTAGTAACCACAGGAAATAGCCCGTCAAGTTTAAACAACAACCAAAAGTAAAGTTTCAATTAACTTTTATTAGTTTTCATACTAATTAGTTTAGTTTCCATCATAATTATTTTGTTTAAGGAATGTAGCAAGGGGTCAGCTATGTAGCCCAGTGGTTAAGGCAGCTGGATCCACATGACTGACTGTGTGGTTAGTCTCAGACCTGGCAGCTTGAGAAACACACCAGGTATGTATGCATGTGTGCCCAAAATCCTTAAAGGAGGGAGAGATGGAGGAGAAGGGGTTGTGATGTATCCATTCACCACGCAGATGCTTTCTCTTCTCCTGTTCTCTCCCTGGCAAGCACACAAGCCCACTAACAAAAAAAGGGGGGGGGGGGGAGTAAGACTGGCTTCATTTGGGAACCAGAAATGTGAGGTCTGCACTGCAGAATCACTCAATGTCAACTGATTGAAAACTGTAGACAGCAGAATTTGGAACCATTCCCAATATCAAGTACAGGTTGCCAGATAGCATCTGTGACTCCTAAATACCTAAACGTTCTTGTTCCACCAGGTTTTAAGTCTTAAGACACAAGAAAAAAATCCTAAGAGTGGAGAACAAATTATCTTTAAGCATAATGAGAAAGGGTATGCCATAAACTTTCCATATATGGTTCTTAATCTTTAGGTCAATCGAGTAAAAGTAGGTACAATCAGCCCCTTTATAGGTAAGTAAAGAGGCTCAGAGAGGCTGAGTGAGCTACTACCCAGGACCACAAGCAATGGGCAGGGATCTGAACTCAGCCCTGCATGGGCTCAAGGTCAATCTTAGTAAGTGATAATAAGCTTTTTATACAATGGTTGTAAGCTACATGAGGCAGGGAAGGTTAGAATACTGGCTGAAAATCTCTCAAATTTATTTTGCCTCAATTGTATGAATGGGGTCTGTTGTATCATAGAAGCTGAGATGTAACTATCAGTCCTGGTCCTAAATTTAAATAAATGAATCAGTTCATCTCTTAGGCCCAGGATGAAGTCTGCTTGTTCTATGTAGCATTCTTCTTCCTTCATTTTTTTTTTTTTTTTTTTTTTTTTTTTTTTGG